TTTTTATTTAATTACGTATCATAAAAGCTTATTACAAATTATTATTTCGATTTGCATTACGATCGGAATCGGGGTATCGATTATTATCAGCCACAATAACGTACTAACCTGGTACACATTATCCGAGTGCGAGAAAATTTCATAATCAAAGATTATGTGTTTGATATTCTGGATTTTATTGGATCTATTTTACTCGGAAATCACGCGACCGAGGATCGTTTCTCCCACCAAAATATTGTACGTAGAGAAAGTGGTCTCATACAAATTTTTGGAATATTCAGAAAATCCGGGATTTAACATCCTTTACAAATTTTAATTAGAGGTCGGAAGCTATTTATTTTTGATTGACAATTGTTATGCAACTCACTCTCGTTATAGTGAAGTGATCCGCTCCATTAATAATTTTTTTGAAAAATTCATTATATCGAGAGTTTTATTAATAAATTCGCTACAACGAGAGAATTTTATATAGACTGGCTTTGAGCTAGCACGGCATGCCCAATATTTGGATATTCCGAAATATTCCGAGTAAAAATCTATTATGGCACGCCAATTTTTGCATGACATCATTTCGAATATTCAAGAACCTAATGTGATCCGGTATTCTCGTAGTTTGAATTGTTCACGCATCTATCGCGTAGGCGTTTACAGAAACCTTCGTTGATGTCCACCGTGTGGTGTTGATCCATCGCAGTAATGTTTCTCTTTCCTTCAACGTCGGGTACAATCGAATCTTTCGGGTTTTCAGATCTGTTTCAAAATCGCATCTTGTTTCACCTCCGAAACGCATATCCATATTTTCTTTCATCACTCGTTTACTTTCACAAACGTTAGACCAGGTGTTTGAAACATTTTCACATTCAGAATATTTTCGTTTACATTTCTCATCAATATCGAAATCGTGTGGTAACCATAATTTTTTTGGATATGTTATCTGAATATGAATTCCAAAAACATTTCACACTTTTTACAAATTCGTTTTCTTCTCTTTTCGTTTTATTTTTTTTGAAGCTTAAACCATCATGAGGACAATGTTATATAACCATTGAATATCAAAATGATATCATACAACATTTGCAAACACACATAATCAAAGCAATTATGTCATACTTACTATTATAAATAAAAATAACGAAGTCAATAAAGAGAAATGTTTTAAGTAATTTTGTCCGGAGCGAAGCGGAGGACTCATACTTCTATACGTTTTGATGACTGAAATCACGATTTTGATGCATTTATAATAAAAATATCAAAAACGTAGTTTCGGCATTTTCAGTCTGTAACGCCAGCTTTTCAGGTTTGGAACCATTAATCGAACGCTCATACTAAAATTATATGGGCTCCGAACTTATACCGGTTTCCGGTTCCTAGTGTAGATTATACTAACCGTACAAATCACATGATATCTTACTCATGAAAAAATTCTTTGTTCGGAACCAATAAAATAAAGGATATCTGTAGTGATTGATTTTTCAAATATAAAATCTCTATATTTTATTAAGCTAATTTATAATAAAAATTGTACAGCACTTAAATAAGAACTGGTACTTTAACTTGAATTAAAAATCTTAAAATTAATCAGAAAATGTCAAACGGTGGTTTTCCTAGAAAACTATCCACTTATGTCCTGCAAATCCAGACCCCTTCGTATTGGTCGGAACCAATAAAATAATAAAATCTTCGTGTAATAAAACAAAGACAAAAAAAAACTAGGTAACAAACCGTAACCAACGCAAAATTTTACTAAATATACTTTCGGCCTCTAAATAAAAATTATCAGAATAAAAATTTACATATAGTATTATTCTTTAAGTAAATGAAAAGCATTTGTAATATCTAATTATTTAAATTTTGATCGAAGGTCCGGATTTGCAGGGAATAAAGTACTCAGATCACCAGTAACACAACCATATAACACACCGGATGCGAACCACGGATTCATATTAATCACACCCGGTTTTTTTTAGACTACTAATAAATGAATGCTCTTCAAAGTTTTTTTTATTTACAGCTATTTTCATTATTCCTGGGACACCTATAAAAAAACTTGCCGAAAAATTTTTCGGCCGGTAATTTTTTC